TCTGATAATTTTTTTTAATTTTTATAATTTCGATTAATTTGATTTTTAGTCTTTATGATTTATTTTTTATCAAACTCTATGTTTTCAGTCATTTTGATTTTGTTTCTTTAGATATCAATACTTCAATAAATATATATAATATGAATGATCTTTAATATAAAATAAAGAATAATATCTTAATGATAAGAACAAAACTCGAATAAATTAAAATATATCGACAATGAAAAAATTATAACTAAAATCCAGAAGAGTAAAAAGTTTAAGAAATCCCGAGTAATTTTCCCCCCCTATGATAAACAGTAACGGATAAGCAGTGTAATATATTATATAGCGGGGGGAATATTTCGAGGTAAAAGTTCTGGTTTAGATGTTCTAATGGATGAAATTCCCCTAATTAATTGAAGATACGTGAAGACAATTAATGTATTTGGCCATACCTTAGTGACTTTATCATTATGTCCATTTATTAATTAAGCATCCAGTAAATGGGTGCTTAATTTATTTCTATCTTGTAAGATGAGTTACTGTGGGAAGTTGTTTAGGGTTTGCCTTACGGAAGGAACCTTCCACAACTTTGGCAAGACAAAGAAACAGTCCACAATTTTACGTATGACGTATTCGAATCTGCTCAATTATAAAACCAACGAAAAGCTAAAAACAAAATAAAAGTCCATATTTGATCCGAAATCAAAAGTTCGTGCTTGCGGATCTAAGTTAAACAAAAACAATTGCAATAAAAAAAAAAGTTAAACAAAAAAGGCCAGCACCACAAAACAAAAAACGAATAATGACCAATATTTACCAAAATATAAAACATGAGTAAGTTACAAAAAAAAGTTGTTTAAAAGTACGAGAAAAACGTTTGTTATTTCTAAGGATATAATTTTATGTCATTTTAGATCCTAATCATTGATTTTTATTAATTATCGATTAGGATTTATTGGGTCGAATTTATTAATTAATTAGTAATTCACAATAAAATTTAATAAACCATAACCGTTGATTGACAGAAATCAACGATTAGGATCTAAAATGACATAAAGTTAGATCCTTTGAAATGACAAATGTTTTCCCCTTGAAGTAATGTAATTGGCTCCTTATATATATGTTTTATCTTCAATCAAACATTTTCATGTACATTACAATGAGGCTAAAAAACTCTTAATAATTATTTTTAAAAAATCTAAACTTTGATTCTCTTATAAAAGGGCTTTGTTTTTCTACTGTAATCGTAGATCACCAAGTTTTCCTGCACATAGAAGCAAGCTGGGTCCCACTAGTTTTTGTGGAAAAAAAAAAGATTAGGCACGCTTTACGAACTCAGAGTGACATAAGATAAACAATTTACTGCAACAGAAGAATACATTTTGCCCTTATAAAATTACAGTTTGTTTAATTCTTTTTTTTGTGGTAAGTACAGTTTGTTTAATTCTTACTAATATATTGATGTGCTCGACTATTTAAGGAGTTACATCTTTGTTTGATTCTGAAAGTGGATACTCCCCCGTCTTTCAAGGATTTTCGTTCTATCAGTTTATGTAATGTTATTTACAAAACTATGACAAAGTTGCTTGCTAATCGCTTGAGAATGCATATGGAGAATCTAGTCATGCCTAATCAATGTAGCTTCATCAAAGGGCGTCAAGGAACTGATAATGTCATAATAGCCCAGGAGATGATCCATTCTATGCGTTTAAGGCGTGGTGCTAATGATTGGATGGCCATTAAAGTGGATCTGGAGAAGGCTTATGATAGGATCAGTTGGGATTTCCTAAGGGATACTCTCCAAGATGCAGGGTTTCCATCACGTTATTAGCCTAATTATGTGGTGTACAACATCTTGCTCTATGAATGTGTTATGGAATGGGAAGACCACATAAGAGTTCCATCCTACTAGGGGACTTAGACAAGGGGACTCATTATCTCCTTATCTTTTTGTCTTGTGTCTGGAACGTCTAGCTCATCTTATTACTTTGTGTGTGGAGAAGAAGAGTTGGAAACCGATTGTTGTTAAGAAGGGAGCCCCCCAGTCTCCTATTTATTTTTTGCAGATGATTTGCTTCTTTTTGCTGAGGCTTCCCAGGACCAAGCTTCTGTAATTCAATATGTGATGGATTTATTTTGCGCATCCTCAGGCCAACGAGTAAATCACAATAAGACCATAATCTTCTTTTCTCGAAATGTATGTCTCTCTAAAGCTACAGATTTGAGCAATCAATTGGGGTATCTTTTGACCGCTGATCTTGGTAGATATCTTGGAATCCTCTTTCATCATAAGAGGGTTGGGAGGGAAACTTTCTCCTATATCTTAGACCGCTTACACACCCGTTTAAACTCTTGGAGTCATACTTCCTTATCTCTTGCAGGTAGAGTCACTCTCTCTAAGGCGGTCTTTCAAGCTATTCCTACCTACCCAATGCAGGTTTGTATTTTGCCCCGTAGTGTGTGTGATGATATTGAAAGAAAGATTCGAGCTTTTATTTGGGGATTATCAAGTTCAAATAGGAGACCTCATCTTGTTTCCTGGAATCAAGTTAGCCATAATAGAAAGGATGGAGGTCTGGGGATTCGATCAGTACGAGATATGAATACGGCTTTTATCATGAAGCTTGGTCATAGTCTTATTACCAATCCTGAGGCTTTGTGGGTTAAAATCCTAAAGGTAAAATACAGTATGGGCTCAAATTTGCTCCCTGAAACTAAGGCTTCAAAGAATAGTTCTGCTCTTTGGAGAGGTATTGTTCGTTTTTGGCCTCTTATCTTGAAACATAGTCGCATTCTTTTGGGAGATGGTAAGAGAACATCTTTCTGGTTGGACCCGTGGCTTCCAGGGTTTGGTCCTTTTCTTGAACAGGTTTTAGGTCAAGTTCCCAATGAGGCTATAAATCTTCGAGTTGCAGATTATGTTGAAGAAGCTGGTCAATGGGCCTGGGATCAATTTCAATACTTGTTACCGGTTCATATCACTAGGTGTATTATGAACTTGGTGCCTCCCCTATCGATGGATAGCCAGGATCGAGTTATTTGGGGTGAATCTTCTGATGGACTTTTCTCCGTTCGAACAGCATATAGGGTTCTTACTCACAATGAATCCACAATATCGGTATTCCTTGGGATTGTATTTGGAGATGGGATGGTCCAGAGAGAATTCAAACTTTCCTCTGGTTAGTGTTAAGGAATAAACTCATGACAAACTATAGAAGATTCCAGTGCAAAATTTCATCAACTGAGACTTGTCCTAGATGCAACCTTGATAAAGAGACGATTCTGCATGCTATCAGGGACTGCAAAGTTTCCAGGGAGGTTTGGAAGTTACTTGTAGACCAAAACCAATTACAGGATTTTGTGAATTTGGATCTTCAAGAGTGGATTCTGCAGAATATCAAAGGTGCCAATCGTTGGAGCTGTTATCCACAATGGGAGCTAATTTTTGGTATTACAGCTTGGTTTTTATGGAAATATAGAAATGATTTTGTTTTTAATGGTTCGAGTAGTAGTCCTTTTGGCATATTGCGCGCAGCTATGTCGTATAAGGATAGTGTTCTATTAGCTAAAGAGATGTTCTCGGTGACACGAGTGGAGTCGACATCTCGAACGGAGAAACTTATAGCTTGGTCCTTTCCTCCATTGAATTGCGTTAAGATAAATGTTGATGGGGCTAGCTCACTTGATGGTTTACATTCAGGCTGTGGTGGTGTCCTTCGAGATAGCTCAGGTAACTGGGTTATTGGTTTCTGTAAGAATTTGGGTAGCGGGACAACTTTGAATGCCGAATTATGGGCTCTTTTGGTGGGTCTAGAAGTAGCTTGGAGCAAAGGCTTTAGAAATGTGTGGTTAGAAGGAGACTCTCAGTTAGCTCAACAACTGATCCTTAAGGGGTGTTGCCAATCTCACCCATCTTCTGGTTTAATTAGTCGCATCAGAGAGCTTCTGGCCAAGGATTGGAATGTTACTATTTCTCATATCTATCGTGAAGGGAATGGTGTGGCCGATTGGTTAGCCGCTTATGCTAGCAACTTCTCTTGGAATGTTCAGCTTCTAGATCTTCCACCTCAGGAGTGTTTGCATCTTTTGCAGAGTGACTTCACAGGAATTCAGTGGCCTAGGCTCTGTGCTTAGGTTGTTCTTTCTTATTTTTTCTATCTGTTTTCATATTTTCATCTTGTATAAAAAAAAAAGCCATTATTTTCAAAATTTTGAAACTTTGAAGCAAAATTAATTTTTTTTTCATATTTTTCTTATCTTAAGCAAAGTTTTTTTTTTAAAAAAAAGCTAAACAAAAAGATTGGATCATTTAAAAAAAAATAAATTAAACATGACGGTCGCAATATTTAACAAAAGTTACAAAAATACTAATAAATGATGGATAATGCAATTTAATTTTTTTATTATTACATAATAATAAAAGAAAATGTTATATTTACCACTAACTAAGTTTACCACTTCTTTCCAATTTTTTATAGCCATTAGATAGTAATAACTAAAACATGATAAAAAAAAAAAAAAAAAGTTGAAAGAGAGTGTGGATGAAATGGTGGAAGAAAGAGAAATTTTTTGTATCAAATGAAAATCCTTGATTTGATTTCATCCGACCCAATAATTAATATCTGAATTAATATTAAAAACAAATCAAAATAAAATTATAATCAATTAACACGTGGTTAATTTGAACAGTGATAATAATTGATGCTTTGTGGAGGAACACGGTGTTCCTACTTGATGGAACGAAGGTATTACCGAGGGTCAAATCATTCATGTGCGTGTCCTGTGTCCTGTGCTGTGACCACTCTCTTCTCTTACAGTTGACGCTGATTTTTATAACTTATCTCTTTTCTTTCCCTTTTTTATTTATTTATTTTATTATTTTTAATTTCATATATTTTTCTTTAAATAATAAAATAAAATAAAAAGAAAGCCTTTCACTTTCTCTCTTTTCTTCTTCCACTGCTTGTTGACGAGACAACGCTTTCAAACTCTTCATAAACTTCAAAAACTACGCGTCCCTTCCTACGCACAACCAACACCCCAAACATAAACCCTAACTTTCTCTCTCCTCTCTCTCTCTCTCTCCCTCTACGCGTTTTCCTGGAAAATCCATTATTTTCCGGGAATTTGATTCGAATTTCGATCACGTTGTAAAACGCAGATCGCACTGGTCTTCGTACTGTGATATAATTCGCGCGCTCACTCCATGTATGGAAGACAAAGACGGAGCAGCATCTTCCGATCCTGCAACCACCGCTGAGTTCGCCGGCGAGTCGAGCTGGACACTCGGCGCCGATGACTCGGACGGTGCCTATCTCTTCTCCGGCGACAGGGAGAGAAGCATACTCGGCGACTTCGGCTGGAACATCGAGCCGGACCAACCGAACCGGATCGGCGCCGACGACCGATTGTGGCTACCGGCTCACTCTGCTCTGACCGGTTCGATCGAACCGGCTGAGATTGCTTCGGCTGCGGCATCGTCCAGGTCGAATAACCAATCGATGTCTTCCAGCTCCAGCGAGGATCCGCCGGAGAAACCCACCGTCTCCGACGAGAAACCGCCTGAGATTCCGTGAGTTGGTGCAAACGAAAAACTTGCTTCACTGCTTTCTCAACTTTGCTTTCGTTCGTGCGTGCGTGCTTGCTTGCTTGCTTGCTTGCTTCTCCGTATGGGTGAATTCGTAATTAACATAAAATTCTGAGGGGGGAAACGGAATAAAAATAACTGAAATCCACATCAACCAAATCATAATCGAATCAAGTTGTGGTTTGTTTGTTTCTTTCTATGTATTTTATTTTATTTTATTTTCATTTTTATTTTTTAACTTCTTCGGTGTCAGTTCATTTCTCAGTCCGTACAATCAGGAATCTTCTTCGCAGACAGAACATTAAGTGATTGTTTTTTTTATTGGGTGTGTTTCGAAATTTTGAAGAAGTCATGGGTTGAAAATAAAATAAGGCAAGAAATTGGGGTTGAAAAAAGGAAAAAATAAAATGGGGTTGCCTTTTCGGGTATCTAAAGTTTCAGCCCACAAAAACCGCCGTTATTGCGGTGGGAATGGCGTGCTCCAAGCCATCCAAGCTAATATAAAGCAGAATGATAATAATTTAGTGGTTTTCATTATTTTCGTATTATAGTTGTCATTATTACACATTGTTTTTATGAAAGTTAGAATATTTAATGGAAGAAAAATGCCACAAAATAAAGGGGTATGATAATAATATTAGTTGGGCTCCACTTTTTTCGTTTTTTTTCTTCTTCTCTTTTTCTCTTTTTCCTAAATTAGTTATACTTACATGGATTGCTTTTTAGTTTTCGGCATTAATAAGATTCTAACCACTTGCAGCTTTTTGTTCACATTATATGGTCATTTGATGCTTATTCATTTCACTGCTATGTGATAGCATTGGCATTAGTTGGCATTTTGTGCTCACAACTATCGTTTATGCCATACATTGTGAATATAAGTTGCATGACATAAAGCTTCTTCCCCTAGAACAATGCTTGCGTGTTTTCATTGCAAGGCGGATCTCTCACCCCTTTTTTTTTTGTGGTCCATATTTTTTGTTCATTAGTATCTTATTCATTAACAAAATATTAATATATATATATATATATATATATATATATATATATTTAGAACTTAATTATCTGTATGAAGTTGTCGTGCGTCTTAGTTATGGGATGGCTATCATGCAGACCTACTTTTGTTTCTTTTGACCCCACTGCAATGTGGATCATATTTTTTTAGTTGACCTGTAGTAGCCTTTGCACATAAATTGAATTTAATGATGATTTGAAAATTCTCGATTGGCCTTAAGTGAGGCTTTTAGTGAAATTATCATCAAAGTATTTGATCGTTATAAATAGTATTTCAAGGACATTTCCTATTTCTTTCTTTTTTGGTATATTGGTAGTCGATGCTAATTAACCTACAACCGCTGCTTAAATTTTTATCCAACTTAATTACTTGAGAGTTATGCCCATTCATACATGACATTGTAAATGATAATAATTGAATATATATATATATATATATATATATATATATATATATATATATATATATATATATATCCCACTCGGCTATATATTTGATAGGCTTGACCCCATACATTTCTTTAATTTTTTATGAGATTGTTAACTGTTGAAACTTGAATTTAATGTGTACTATCGTAGTTGCCTTAACTTAGTTCCCCAAGATTTGAATTAATGCCAACTTCATGATCAAAATGTACGCATCATGGAATCTTTGAAATCCAACGAAAGATCAAAGAACATAAATGCTTATCATTAATTCACGTTACTTTTTACAACATATGCACCCCAAGTATTTACATAGAAATGGTGTATATGTACTTAATTTTGCTATGATCCCAATGCAATAGTATTGTGTACGTATGATTGATAACGTGGAGAAATATCAAATCTCTTTCGGGTTTCGGTTATGACATAGTTTTTCTTGTTATTTTGATTTTCAGTATGCTTCTTTTATTTTGATAAATTGTAGATGACATATTTTGTAGGAGTAAAAGTAAGAAGAAGGGGCAGAAGCGAATACGGCAGCCACGGTTTGCATTTATGACAAAGAGCGAAGTTGATCATCTTGAGGATGGCTACAGATGGCGGAAGTATGGTCAGAAGGCAGTTAAAAATAGTCCGTTCCCTAGGTTTATAGCTACCTTCTCATCACATTAACATTTAATTAATTAAGTTACCAAAATTCTTCCCAATTACTACATATCATATATAATTGATTACTTTGTGGCCCCCCTTTTTTTTTCTCAAATATTTTCACACTTAGGATATGCTAAGGAAACAAAATAAGCAAAAAAGGAAATGAGAGAAATGAAATCTGAAAATCAACCTAGCTTGCGATGCATGCATTACCAAATTTCAATCCCTTCTCGTTTTATTTGTTTACCCGAACCAGGAATTTGTTTGGGAATATAAAAAATAGGAATAATATGTAAGAAATGCAAATTAATTATGATTCCAGATATGATACATATGTCTATATTATCTGCGGAAAGGTCAAATGGATATTGTTGGCAGCTATAAATATATGAGTCCTTATACTAAACAATTTTGATTATTGTACAAGAAAAGTTAATTGACAACTTTGCGCTAATTATTCTAATGGATAGTGTGATTAAGTGAGGGAGGGAGCTAGGGGCTAGCGGGTACATTCGTTCCCTTTCAAATTTATATAAACCTTTAGAAGTGAGTATTATTTTTAATTTTTTGATCATGTATCTAGTTCGCCCCTTTCAAACTTTACAGAAACCTTTAGTTGTAAGAATAGTTTTTTTTTTTTTTTTAATATCATATAAATATTTATAACTTAAAAAAAAAATTCACATTATAATTTGTTCCCCTTCAGAAAATGTTCTAGGTCCGCCATTGCTGATGCATATATATACATGTCTTGTACAGGAGCTACTATCGTTGCACAAACAGCAAATGCACGGTGAAAAAAAGGGTTGAACGCTCCTCAGAGGACCCAACTATTGTGATTACTACATATGAAGGCCAACACTGTCACCATACCGTTGGATTCCCTCGAGGGGGTATCATTAGTCATGAAGCTGCCTTTGCGGGACAGTTGGCTCCTACAATGTCTCAGTTCTATTATCCAATTCAATTACCCAGATCAGACAATACTTTTACCAGTATTTCTCAGCCTTGCCAAGCACATGATGAAGCTGGAGGATCCAACACTACAACAATGCCATCTGATACATCTCCACAGCCTCCCACGGATGAGGGACTACTTGGAGATATTGTTCCACCGGGAATGCGCAACAGCTGATAGAAATATATGATGGTATATACCCAACTTTGCATTATCTATCTATCCTTTTTTAATTACATAATCAAATGCATTTTATGGATTTTAACGAGAGATTGATAAAAGTAAATGCTCGTCAATTTTCTTCTAAAATGTAAATAATTTAGCGAAGTCCATATATAATTAACAACTTAAAAAATTGAACAATTTAGTAATTTTATTTTTTATTTTTAAGTATGGCTGTGTTGCAATGGCCAGGGAATGTTGTCGTGTAATTTTTGTATCTCTTATAAAGCCTGAGAGGAAATGAGTACTTTTAGATATATATACTATATTATAATAGAAATGCTGATCATGATAATGGCCTAGACTACAATATAATATATTAGTTTTAGAACAAGAATAATCTTTTGTGAATCAATTAATAATTTGTGCATTACTTTGCATTCTAGCATTGGTACGGTTAGAAATTATGTATTGGCAATAATAGGGCGTTGATGAACTCTAGCTGCCAAGGTAACTACGCTCAGATCGATGTTTAGCTATGGTGATAAATTATTAAGAAGTTTAGGATATTAAGCCTTAATTTCGGCAATAAAAATAGTTTACTATAAGATTGTAAGTTGTAACGTGTAACTTGTAATTTGAGTAGTTACTTAAGCTCTAGCGCAGATTTCGGAGATTGGAGACTAAATTTTGCTTTAACTAGGGCTAAAAGTTTGGAAAATAGGTAAAAATTGGAAACAATTAGTTTCTATGACATTAAATTTTCGGTATGTGTTGGGCTTCTTTGTTCTGAAAAAAATGACATTGTTTTTTGTTTGGTGGAGAAAAAATGACATTTTAGTTTGGATACAACCAGTTAAAAGTATTACTATTTTTTAGAGATTAAAATTATTCATATGTTTTCATTTAATATCTTGATCAACTAGTAAGACAATGGGGGCTGGAAATAATATTCTCGCGTTACATGACCTCATATTCCACCATTAGTGAATGCTAAAACATTAGAGTACTATATCCAAAGAAAGCATGATATATATGGTTCGGCCTATCCTTCTTTCTTAAGATCTGCTTGCCAGTGGTCGGCAACTCGAGCATCATTACCAGCATCATGCACATTTTTCAGTGGCTAAGAACTTCTCTGGCACTACTGTACGTTACTAAAAATCTTCTGGCAGTACCTTATCTTGACTGCTACCCACTTCATGATGCTGTCTTCACGAGCACTTAGACATCTTTCTTTGTTAAAGTAAGAAGATTGTTGACAACTTTAAGGAATTCAAAGAAATTGCCCTTCAAATGACTGCTTTTAGAACCTTACGAACAATTAATGAACCTTTTTTGCTCCAGAAAAAAAAAATAGGTGAAAAGAAAGTAGAGTGGCTATGGAACTATTTATTGTCTCCTCAAGAAACATATCTTAAAAGCTTATCTCTATTTATACTATTATTTTTTTCTACTAGCACCTACTACAATTTATTATAACTATATACTGATAGTTATAATATAGTTGTTTTTTTTTGTGTCTTTAGAAATTTTTTCGAAATTGTTGGCCGAAAAGTTTGATCAAACGGTGATTAGAATGACAGTAAATTGAAAAAAGTGGTAGTATAAATATTCTACTGTCTATATATATATATATGGGATTTGCATTTGTCATTTAATATGACACAACAAATTTTCCTACACATACAACATTTGGTGGGCCCACACTTTTTGAAGAAAAAAGAAAAAAAGAAAATTACGGCACGCAAAACGAATCTCTATAACATTACACAATCATTTTTCCTACAACATAACTCTTATAAAACCCTGTATACATAGAGAGAGAGAGTTTTATTTTGTTGTTCATCTTCTTTTCCTTCTATGGACCTTGAATTGTTTAATCTTTGGTTTGAACTTTCTACTTTTTGCTTGAAAAGTCAGCTCCGCATGACATACTGTGTCTTTTTATGGGCAGATCAAGAAACTTTGGTAGGTCTTCAGCTGTCTTTAAAAAGCCAGTTCGATTATATCTACACAGAGTTAATAAAAGATTCGCTGTCTGTTACTTTCAAAAAGAACATGACATATCATAATAGATAGAAGTTCACGCTCAAAGTGAGGAACAGGCTCATATAGTCATATTTGTTGGGATATTCAAATGTGTTTGTATTGATGTTTCACATTAGTCGATAATGGCAAAATGAAATGCTTATAAATGAGAGGATGCATAAACCCAATATTTTAAGATATTAGGTTGAGATATGGTGTAGGTCATGGGCCCACCTGACATATATGTATGGAGTTTCTTGCAAGTAAAATTGTGGTTGAAAAAGCCATCGTTATTCTAGCACCTCCATAATTACCGTAATCTATTTAATTTAGCTAAGTTAGTCATGATAGAGGTACACCGCTACCGTTGTTGATTAATCTTATAGTATGAGTCTCGTGGCTTCAAGCATGAAAGAGAAAAGAGAAGGGAAAGAAACAACTTATAGAGATCAGGTAGACAGGTACACGCTTGTGTTATCAGTTCAGGTTGATATGGATAATATCTAACAGCTATCGACTCGTATGAGATTTAAACTTAAATGTGAGTCATATAAAGGTATATAAGGATTAGGGGCTAGTGCCACATTCCTCTATATAATTGCTGCTATCCTCTTGTAGTGATGATGTCTTTGATGCGCACGTGTTATGGATGGGGAACCGAATCCATTAATGACTTTGGCCTTGTCTGGCTTTCTACAGATTGATTCCATACATAACAAATAGCAGTATGATGGTGGGAATGGATTCTTTATGTTAAAATTTCACACAAATGAATATTTTATTTCTATTTCTCACTTTATAGGTATTAAATAAGTGGGATTTAATTAAAATTTATAGAGATATGTACAAATTTTTTACATAATATAGTCATGTGAAAATTTAACATAAAGAATCCCTTGCGTATGGTGGTACGTACCTATGTGATTAAGGGACACGACGACATATTGTTCATTTCGCATGTCTGTGTTATATTGATCTGGCATCCTGCCTGTTATCCATGTACTTCTGTTACCACTTTGTTTGATGGGTCAATAATCCTTGTCATGATTTGATTCAGATGATGATCGAGTTGGAGTTGAGAAGATGCGTGGACATGCATGCTTTCTTATTATCTACATTCTCTGAACAAGTAGGCCATAAGAGGCAGCAATTTTTCCTTTCTTTAAGCAGCAAGTCCTTTTTACTTATAATTTGTCTCGAGAAGCGAATCTAGTAGTCATGCATGGGTACTATATCTACCATGGCAGCAGGTTGTAAGAGGTTGCAAACGAAAAAGTTTGTAAATATAACATGTTCCTATATATATATATATATATATATATTCCGATATTATTCATTTAGTGAAAGTGATAATGTATGTATACAATTTATATTTATTATATATGAGTGATAACCACCGCATATTCCGATATTATTTATTTAGTGAAAATGATCATGTATGTGTACAATTTATATTTATTATATATCAGTGACCACATATAATGTTGTTGTGTCTCGGAGTCCGGCAAATTCTAAATCCGGCCTTCTTCAAGTCGGCATGTGAAAGTGTGGGTGAACAGCAAATCGAAAATCAAACAAACAGAGAAAATGGAGGAACAGATAACACCAAAAATTCTAATGTGGAAATTTTTTTTGATGTGAAAAGTAAAAACTACAAGACAAAGTCCAAAAAAATATTCACTATATGTATAATGGGATTACAAAAAATTTTCTCTAGCTCACTAATAAGAGAAACTCACCCTCTAAAGGATAGATCCACTCATAAGTGTCTCATGCAAGTGTTTTTCTCTGTAAAGGGAATATATGAATCCCACTCTACGTGATATTCTTCTTCTTATTCGGCAATGATGTTGAGTTTCTTTTTCTTAGAAAATTTTCATCTCTGGCTTGCTTTCTTCTTGTTTTCAACTCTTTGCTTTTACATCTCAGTATCTAAGATTTTTTTTATAAATAAGAGATTAGGACACATATTAATTGGACCATATCTATCATTGACGACGGACCCAGCAAATGTGTACTTATCAAGCTCTTCACCGCCAACCCCCTTTTCTTTCATTTGAACTTTTTACTTCTCCTTCATAGTAGAAGTTATGAAACCTAAATGCCCACCATATCCTCGCATCCATTAATTGATGTTTTATGAAATATATGTTTTGTTCACTTCAATTTTTTTTATACATATATTTGACAAAAAAAGAAATACTCTTTTTTCCATAATTTCTATGGCTTTCTCTTGTTAAATTTTACTATTATAAATTCGTGAAGCGTATGCTTACATCTTCGTGGTTCATATTTTACATGGCCTTAAAAAAGAATGGGCAATGCAGGTGCGGAATCAGTTGCGTGGAATTCGATATTGCTTTGGGAGTCGGCAGCCCACGTTGCTTTATGCCGCTCACTCCACTTTCTACTTTCAACTTTCCACTCCTTTCCTTTTCAGATGTGTTACCCTTCTTTTATTTATTCTCATTTGCTGCTTTTCTTTCTTCTTCTTCTTCATTGCCTTTTACCGTCTCTTTGTCCCTCACCGTGATATTATATTTGAATTATAGTTCGTAATTCATTATATATTTCAACCTAAAAGTATTTTGTTTTTACTATTTGAATCATGATTTTGAGACTTAGAATTATGCTTTAATATAATTCAATAAATAGTTTTTTCAAAAATGTTATTTGCATATAAAACTCAGTTTACATATCCAAGACTGAAACTTGATATTTGCAAACTATATATAATCTAATCATATTATTAACTCTGAAGTGTTAGCACTTCATTTAGTAGGAATTTGAGACATATTCTTACTTGTGTTGTAAAAGAATGCCAACTGATATATTTCAGGTTGCTATATAGGGAAAAAAGAAGAGACTATACATCACACGCGTGAACTCAGTCACACAATCTAACTCAATAACAAAATAACCATGCATCGGATAATTGACTAAACTATAAGTGGTTACAAGTAAAATTCCAAGTAGCTTATTGCACTGCATGGTGGTGATTTGCATCTGTTAGAGCTTCAACTTCCTGTTTGTTATCAGCCTGTATATATTGTATGACCCTGTAAGCTGGACAATGGATATCAAGGAGTCCTAGCTTGGTGAGGAAATGGGTGCTGGATGAAGAGGTTTTGTGAAGATGATGCGAAGAGAGTGAGAGCATATGAATGAGGCCATAGAAATTTTTTTATCCGATGACATGACAATCAATTTTAATATGTTTTGTTGGCTCATGAAAGAATGGATTGTGAATCACGTGAATTGCAAATAGATTATTGGAATATATAGAAGCTGGTTTAGTGGTGGAAATACCAAGGTCCAAGAGAAGATAATGGAGCCATTGCAATTCACAAATTAGCTAGGGCTAGATACTCAATTTCGGACGAAGACCTTAGAATTGTGCCTTGCTTCTCTGATTTCCATGTAACCAAGGACGAGCCAATGAAGACACAATAGCCTATCCCAAAGAGACAAGTATTTGGGCATAAAGCTTAGTCGGAGTAATGCAAAGCCAGTTTTGAGATGGAAATAATAAGCCAATTGCAAGATGGTCTCACATGATTTTTGTTTCAAGGATTTGTTTTGCTAGTATGAGGTTTTTTATGGCAAAGGATGTGCTCAAGTTTTTGAGGGTGAAAATATTCTTCATGCCTTGCCCGACTATCAACATATCATCTACATAAAGTAGAAGTATAATGAAGTCACCATTGTCATATCTTTTAATGAACACATGATGGTGTAGCTTGAGTCTTCTTAAAACCATGTTTCGACTTGAAGGAGTCAAATTCTTGTATTACTGTCTTGGTGTTTGCTTTAAACCATGGAGGTTTTTTCTTAGTCGACATGCTAAATATTCTTTACCTGAAACCTTAAAGCCTTCGGGTTGCATGTATATTTCTTTCTCTAGATCTCCATGAAGGAAAGTCGTCTTCATGTCTAGCTGCTTAATCTCCAGATTCATTGAGGCCATCATGCCGAGTATAACTCAGATTGAGATCATCTTCACCACCGCTGGATTGCTTTTATCAATTTTAAGTTTGTAAACCCATGTGTTTCTTAGAGCATGTCTACCCTTTAGTAACTCGACCAAGTCAAATGTGTGATTTTAATAAGGATTGCATCTTTTCTTGCATGGTCTTTTTCCATTTCTTGTTCTCGATACTTGTTACGGCTTCTTCATAGCTCTGAGGCACCTATCTTAAGCAATTATTGTATACTCATTAGCAGAGAATCTGCTGGAGGGATACCTTACTCAGGTTAATTGCTGACTTTGAGATCGAGGTTTAGAGATGAGAACGTCAGGTTTTGCTCGAATTTCATTGGTATCTAATTAGACTGATTTTATCTCAGGTGATTCGTCATCTGCTAGCTGTTCATTGTTTCCATCTCATAAATGTTCATTGTTTTCTTGTGTTGGTTTTCCCCTATGTTAACTTGGACGTTTGAGGTAGATACGTGATCAATGTCAGAAGTAGCCTAATTCTTAGGCTTTTTGATGTCTTCAATTGCTTGGTGTTCAAAGAAGACCACATCTCAGCTTCTCGTAATTTTTTTGTTAACGGGTCCCCCAAGTCGGAGGTCGATTCGTCGGGGATCCAAGGTATATGTACTCCTTGGACTTTGCATCCAACTTAACTCGTTTATCTTTGGGGATATGAACACGACATCCAAACACTTCCAAGTGCTCATACAAGGCTTTCTTGCTTGTCCATACTTTTTCGAAATCTTTCCTTCTAGAAAGGTCTTAAGCTTGATACATTGATTAGGTCTACAACAATCTTTATGACTTCACCCCGAAAATGTATCGGGCATCTTGGCGTGTGACAACATGCTTTGAATCCTCTCCTCGATGGTTCGATTAATTTTCTCCGCGACGCTGATAACTAAGGTATCTTAGGAGAAGTCTTCTCTAGTTTGATGTTTCCTGATATGCAATAAGACTCAAAAGAACCTCACTACTTGCCTTCGTTGTCAGCTCAGATGGTCTTCAGATTCTTCTCAGTCTCTAATTCCACGAGAGCATGAAACTTCTTGAATGCTTAAAGAATCGAACTTGGTCTATGATATTTAGTAGAATTATCCATACTCGTTTAGAGTGGTAATTGATAAAAGTAACAAAGTAGTATGTCCCACCGAATGATATTTTTGACATAATATATGTAACACCCCGTTCTAGAACCGGTTTGTTAACATTGCTTTATGATATTAAGCGCAGTTACAATCACATTGGTTCACTTAAAAACCCGGATAAATTTTTCGTTTTCCTTTTTAACAATGCCGAGTTTGAAATAAGCAATTGTGTGACCATAACATTATTACTTTGCGGAATAATCAAACTAAACTTAACATCATATCATTATTCTGTTCGAGTTCAATACTAAACTCTCTTCGCCTTTTATTAAATTGGAATTTATATACACATACTTTTATGGTCTCCAATCTCTAATATGTTATAGGATTTTTCATTAGCTACGCGTGGGTTCGAACCGCGCTCAAATCGAAGCACCGTAGCCCAAGTTACACATTTTCTAAGAAAATGGATGCTGAAATTTCCAGGATCCCCACGCCCATAGCGTGAATCTCACGCTCATAGCTTGGGCAGTCAGAGAGGTAGGCGCTCCTAGTGCCACAGTGGCGCCCTCAGCGCCAATGTTATTGCCTCTTTCTGGAAGGTGGCGCCCTTAGCGCCAGTTTGGCGCCCATAGCGCCACACAGCAGGTCTGGGTGCCGAAAATTGGGCAATATGACCTATCTATGATGTTTCATCCATAACTTTAGTTATACTTATCCAAATTACACAATCTTGGTCTCTATGGAAAGCTAAGAAATTTATCTACAACTTCCATTGAAACAAAAGGGTCCAAATCTACCATATAGGATACGAAAATTGGACAACAAGATGGAATATATTTACTTTTACTTGGATTTTCAACCTAAAGGTCTTCTTTCACCTAATTGACAATCATATAATTCTTTCAATATATGAATTCTATTCTTTCAAAGTACTCATACACTAAGAGAAGCACGCATACCATTTCATCATACATATATCTCCATTAATTACAACATGTATTAATTACAAAATCAGGGGACTTAGCTACCAAAAGAACTATGATCAACCCACTGGCTCTCAACAACAAAAGAGGCACCAAAGGAAGTGAGCATAGGCTAAGTCCATCCAATAAAGCAAGATATACAAATGACACTCGGCTTTCAATTAACAATCCTATACATATGAACTTCTACATGTCATGTATAATCCAAAAAGAATGCAACATCTTCATGCATCTACTAATTCAAATATGGCCACTTGCCACCAGAGGCTCATGCAGCATCCTTACCTGAAAGGGGGTCCTCACAACACGGGGTGAGATATACGAATATATCCAGTAAACCAGCGGTCCTT